AGCCAAGCTTAAAGCTTGATTTCTCTGCCCCCAAATTTTGTCTTTGGCCTTTTTGTTCAGAAGGTGCCAATTACTGAGGAGTCTGGCAATGGTTTCTCTGAGGAGTGCATCTATGCACTGACAACTGAGCTTGGCTCTCCAAAGCGTATCTACGCAAGCTGTCCAAACTGAAGCAGGGAGCCAGGGCTCCCTGCGCCCCCCTGCTGCTCTGCACTGCTGCTACAGGCCAGGGCCATGCTTGGACCGAGTTTCCTGCTAAGCTGACAGTTCTGCCTCCTTTCAGGACACTGTCAGGCTGCAACTAAACACAGTGTGTTGCAGGGTGCAGAATAAATGTGGAGCTCCTCTTCCCACTGGGGCTCTCCCACAAGACACACACCCCCCCCCCAAGGCTGCTCTGCACTGCACCCCCTCTCCACAGGAGCTTACTCCCTTAAAAAAATACAGTATTCTGCACTTGAATTCTAGTAAAAAAAGCAAACATGAACAAGGGAAGGGAATCTTAACATTTTATGGTTAAGCTGGTATTAGGGAAATGACAGTTTGATACCAAAACTGAGATAATTTTGTCTTGTGTTTAAGTGATATTTATGTGACATCTATCGAATGCAACCCTGCCAGTTACTCAGAAACACAAGCTATGTAGTGCCTCTTTTCTGCATGTTATAAAACCTGCATGCCAATTTACTTCTGCTTGAATAATCTTCTAAGATGTTTCATACTCTTCTCTCTGATGGCTCCTCCACTCAGAAACCAAAATACTTAGAGGTGGTACCTCATAGATGCACTGCTCCTTGCCCTTCAATCCCCACCACAATCACAAAACCTCAGTGAGAGACGGAGCTGGTACTGCCACCTTGCCATCCCCTGCACTGTCTTGAATTTCACCAGCGATGCTGGCAGTGGGGCTGGGATGCTGGAGCCACAGGATGCCCTGTTCCTGTTGCCACGTTGCAGCCCAACACCAAACTATGCCCAGCAACTCTGGCGCCTGGACCCGAAAGCATTTTTTCTCCCTTCTGTTTAAGCACAAGGCACCATCCCACAAAGGAAGGCACTCTGGCCTTCAAAAGGTTTCTGTTCATGGCCTGCCCTGAATCAGCTGCATTCATCAGCTTGCCCTCTGTCTTGAGCTGCTCTCTCTCTGGCTGCAGATTCGGCAGTACACCGAGCAAGAGCCAGATATAAATCTCTCCTGCTCAAAGGAAATATTTAGTAGCAAAATGAGTAGAAGACAAAAGACATCTCTATTACTCACCCGATCCTCTCACTCAGGGTGGCTCTATCTAACAAGCGGGCAACTGAGTGCTCCTGCCTGGAATGGCTGTGCCAGGGGATGCCTGGGAACCTGCTGGTGTGCCCAAATGGCCTCAAACACTGGCTGGGAAATGCAGAGCTTTTTCCATCAAGTCCACTGCTTGGTAAGCATGAAAGGCCTGCTTAGGGAAGTGACGGGGGAATAAACCCCAGTGTTTCCTCTTAATTCTGCAAAAGGAAAACTCAAGACAAGTTAACACAATTTTATGTATATATTAAAAGCCAAGGAACATTAATCCACAGTTTATGAGTGTTCTTATGAGAGTTCTGCTCTTATTTACAGCTGTGTGAGCTGTTCTGAAATTTAACGTGTAGGATGCAGATCAGCTTTGTTCCTCTTTTTATTGTATGTTCAATTGTATAATTCCTTAATTCTCAAGAAAGTCTGGAAAGGCCAAGTCTTCATGTGAGTTCATTGAGATGACTGAGCTCTGACTCTTCAACACAGAAACTTAATAGGTTTCTATTGTAAAATATTTATCGTAGAGATAGATAGCCATTTCATAAGCAGTAACACAAGAGAGCCATTTTATTAGAACTCAGAAGAGTCCTTTTGGGAAGGAAGAGGCACAGGACAGGGCACACACCAGCAACTGCCTGACGGAGACCCTAGAACCAGTGACAGCCTGACTGGAGCTTCTAGCTGAGTTGATCCGCTGCCCTTTCCCAGCCAGTAACCCATCAGAGTAGCTGTTTAACTAGCCAAGCTGAATTTGCCACAGACTGAGAGCTGGAGCACTGAGGTTTCAGGTGGTCACTGCAGCTCCTGGCAACAGTACCCCAAAGCAGAGCCAGGGGCAGCAGGGGACACGTTGATCACCCTGCCTCCCCATGCAGTGAGCACCTAGCCCAGCCTAGCACAAGCGGCTGCTTTGGACTTGCTCATCATGGACATGTCAGCATGTTCTGTTAATCCAGCAGAGCAATGTAAAGAAATAAATGACCTGCAGGAAGCAGAAAGAGATGCATTGCATGCGTGCTTATGTCACTGCTGGAGTTATTGCCCAAATCCTACCACTCCTGTGCTCATTCAGTATCTTGCAAAGTAAATGACTATTAAGGGTTAACCACACAACTGAAAATGTATCTTTCACAATACCATTAGTTTAGCCCTGTATGACCAATACTTCAGTTTCTTGTATTTGTTCATCTTCTATCTAAAGCAAAAATTTCATGTAATTTGTTTTTTGAAGTTTTACTTTTTGGTGTAATTATTACCTTGAAACTACATAGGTAATGCTCAAAATTCTTCAAAAATACTGCCATTTGAATTTTAGTCAAGAAATATTACACAAAAATAGTTTCTTGCTTTATCTCTACAGCTCCTGAAAAAAACTGCATCTTGTGGACTTGAGTAGAAAACATACTGGAGAAATCAAAACCACTTGAATAGAGAAGACTCAAATGGCCACTGTGTCTGTAACAGTCTATATACACATTATATACACAGGACTGTTTGAGAGAGCCTGTGTTCATGAATGTGTACAGTATACATACTGCACAAAGTTAATTTGTCTGAGTCATTTTTTTAAATTTTTTTTTTCAATCATTGTCAGAAACAAGAACAAACTTGTGGTGGCACAGAAAACATGTGGCTACTGGATTTACTCTTGCCCTCCTAGTGTCACTGCTCATTAACTGTGAACTGATTTTGCAAATCTATCATTCAACACACTAATTTTTACTTTTTTTCCTTATTGCATTTGTACATGTAACAAATTGGTACAAATGTTTACAATAAAATGTAAAGTTCATTGATACAATGCCTTTCATGATGGCTGTAACTGGATGGCCGCAACTAGCCAACTCTGTAGCTTTTTTGGAGATGTTTTTAGCTGAACTTCAAAAAATAGGAAATGTAACTTAAAATAAATGTACATAATATACAATATATATATTTATACACATGTGTATGTCCACATACACATATATTGATATAACATTTAAAGTAATGTTTAGTTTTAATCAGTTCTCTGAGTTCTGGGACTACCTGGCAAATAAATCTAGAAATGGAATTTGTCCACAATTAAATAAAAATTTTCACAACTTAGAAAAATATACTTTGACTAAATAAGGTTTATGGATGTAGCCTGGAGGATAACAATTTCCAGACTGTGGCATGATTAAATCTGACAGAACGCGAGCTACTACAAGCCAGAAACGAGTGCTGCCCCGCAGCCAAACGCAGAAGTACACAGAAATATGAGCTGCTGCCAGCCATTATCAGTGGCACCCAAACCCTCTCTGGTCTGGTCACATTTTATATACGTTTCACTTCCACCTGATACAAGTCACCCACCCAACTTCATGCTCTGTGATTTAAGGCCCACTTCAATCACAACCACACAGCGCCTGTCGTCTTCCCCAAGTACAGCACTTGCTGACTGATGTGAGCAGCTTCCCACTTCCACAACTCTTGCCTTGAGAACTAACATATGATCACAGTCCCTAATTAATGACCTGGAGGACCATCAGTACTTGAGCTTCACCATACAGATTTTGATCTACTGCATAGTTAAATACATAATAGCAAAGCATACATAGAAGTGTGTGTGTAAAGTAGATGTACATAAACACAGTGGGAGTGCGTATGTGTACATCTCTATATAAAAACTTTCATGGAGCTATGTGTAGTAACGTGATATACCATGGTATCCTGCAAACGCTATCTGATCCTTCTTTTTAAATATATAGGCACCAGAAATAAGTAGAGCAAATCAACCTTTCAACATTAAAGTTAAATCAGTGGACAAGAACTTTGGTAAAGCTTGTCAACATTTATTTCTTTTAAATTCAAATACAGTCAAAGTCTATCAGTTGCCATCACCCTCTTCACAAGAGGAAAGTGCAGTCTTTTTTCCTAAAGAAAATTATAGGTAAAGTGGGGCTTAACGATTCAAGAAAATTCTGAATTAAATGTCTACCTTTGTCAAAAGACTACTATCTTTCTGATGGAATGAAAGCTAAATAGAGTTCTTGTCCTGTGTGCATTTATTGTATGCATATACATATATAAATATATAAATAATATATATTATTTATATATTTATATATATTATTTATATATATTTATATATATAAATATATATGTATGTCTCTGTTTATGTACCTGTGTGTGTATATACACATCCACACTTTTAACACAAGAAAAGAACCTGTTTTTCTCCACTTTGTATGTGGAGGCTTACATGTTCCTCCCTGTCTTGTACCCTGTGCAGTATAAGCTCTAGTGATGAAGCCAAACAAAAAGATACAGTTTACCATAGTATATTAGTTTATGTAGCAAAGTCATTTTCAAGCAAGTAAAATAAAGCTCTGTATTCCAAACTTCTTTTCCTTTGCATTTCTCATAAAGAAAAGGAAGGAAAAGCAAAGAGGGGAGGGAGCAGGATCCTGGCAGTAGCACTAAGCCAGTGGCATGTGTGTGTGTGCAAGCGTGCAAGTGCATGCACGCACACACACACACACATGCACAGAAAACAGGGCTTTGGTTGACAAATGCAGATTGTCCAGAGAAGGTGGATGCATAAGGAAGACTCTACAGTGATGCAATTGTATCTTTTATGGTTGCATGGATTGAGAAAACAGATTCAATTGGAAAAAAAGAGAAAAAGCAAAGACCTCTTTTTAGGTCCCACATCAGTGAGGGCATACTCAGTATGCTAGAGAATTTATCTGAAACCTTTTAAATCAAGGCCTCTTTATTACAAAAATAAAAACAAACAAACAAAAAGTATGAGAGACGACAAGATGCTGAAGTGTCACTCCAATCGTCCCTGCAGAGAACAATTGCATCCCATTTATTATTCATTCTCTTCTCTCATTTCTACGATGTCTGTCATTTCCTCTGTGTGAGGCATGTCGGTCATTGCAGAGTCTTCACCTTCTGTAGCTGTTTCATTCTCATTCCGCTTCTTTTTCTAGATTGAAACAAGCATTCAGAAACCTATCAGTAAGTTGTGCATGAACACAGTCCTATGGACTTTAGGCACTGGGAGAAGTGAGGTGGTAATAATGATTTTTTTTTCTTTTATAGTATGTTATTAAAAGCTAGAATATTTGTGTCATAGTTGTGGCTTGTCACTAATAACTTGACTAACTTAGAAGGTTTCCATAACCTTCTGGGGCTCAGCTTTCTCCTTTCTAACATAAATTCAATAACAGAGGCATTTCTTATGCTAAATGACAGCCAAAACAGGCTTCAGCATGACTAGAGGGAAGAGAGCATCTGGAATCTTTTACATCACAGACTTTTTATTAAAATAAAAATAAAACAAAACAAAATAAAAACATGAGAGAAGATAAGCTGCGCTAGGGGGGAGACAGAGGTGCCAACCTAGTTTCTCAAATGTCAAAACTTCAGGAATTTTACAAGATGTGAGCACTCTGGCTTTTCTTGGTATTGCTGATCCACTGTGCTCCTCACCCTACCAAGGCCAAGGAATATTAGAGTATTTTTGGCTAGCAGGAGCAGGAGGGCATTCAAAAGTCCTATGATTCATCCAGGATGTCCTGGATTAGTAAAGCTAAGAAGCATTCAGCTCCACTACAAAACAAGTTGAAGCATCTGTTCCTTATTACCCGTTTCTCAGCAGGCTGACTGGTTTTACAGAAAACACTTGTATAGCTGACAAAAATTCCCCTCCAGGTATAATTGATTCAGCTGAGTTGGGCATATCAGAGATTCAAAATTTCAGAGGTGTCTACACAGCACTTGATTTGCAGCTCTGAAACACTGCCCACTTATTACCACTGTAGGTGAAAACAAGTTGTATACAGATACCAGTTTGCTCTGCCACTGTCATGCTGGCTGTTGAGACAATGCTGTCAGCTACATACTAATTCTGCTAAGGGAATAAATTAGGTTGGTACAGTTATTATTACTACTACCTGCACTCACCACTGCAAAAAATTAAGCATCATGTCCCTGGCCAGAAATACTCTACGAGCTACTACTGAAACAAGAGACGAGGAGGTTGTTGTGCAACCATAGGCCAAGAACAGCCATTTCAGTGTCTACAGGTTTTACTCTTTGGCTCCCAGGAAGAGCATGACAGACTAATCATGACAGAGATCAACTACTTCTATTTTCTTATGAACTTTGTACACTTTGTACACATTAACAGTGTGCAGGCCCACTGTTAATGGCCTGCACACTGTTAATGCATATCAAAACTGGGTTTAGTTTGTTCCAACACAAAGCTTTTAGATATTCCATCTTCTGCATATTTTTGCTAAGAACAGAACCAATGGGCCTTTAGTATGAAGTTTAATTAAAAAAGAAAAAAAGTAAATGCATAGGTTATATTTTCTGCTCCCATCCACAGGGTCCCTCTGCACTATGTAATGCTGTATACACCATGCCATTTCTGCTTGGAGCTGGACCTGGTACCCTACTGGGCTGAAACCACAACAGTTCTTTTTGGTGCCCAACGTGGGGCACGAAGGGTTGAGATAACGACAGATCTGACCAGAGTGTGTCTAACTGTATTTGTGATAAGCATTTATTGGTTTGGATTAATAGTCACTCATCACAATGCTGATTTATTGGCTCTCAAAGTTGTTGCTCTTGATCTTGGAATTTCAGCATGTCGTACCTTACTTACAGCTGGTATTTGCTGTTTTAGTGTTTATCAACCCCCCCTCAAAGCTGGGGGGCTTGGGCTAAGGTTGTTGTTTCACTGTACTTTATGGTAATGACTTGTGATACAGTAGAATCATTGATCATGAAACTGATCTGGCTTGTGTTCCCAGTGTGGTCGCCACCTCTATACTTTGGGAGGTATATAATAGAAGTGTTTAGCAATTACACATCTTTTTTCCCCTCCTCGGGTGGTCAGCCTATGAGGGAGACATTCCCACACACCCTAGTGACAAGTACAGCAGCTACTCAAACTCTGACTACAACAGATAACACAGCTACTCCAACTCCAAGCACAGCAGCTACAATAACCCCAGCGACAAGTACAGCAGCTACCCAAACTCTGACCGCAGCAGACAGTGCAGCTACTCCAGCTCCAAGCACAGCAGCTACACCAGCCCCAGTGACAGGTACAGCAGCATCGTTTGAGAGTTCTGAAGGTTTTGAATGGCCTTTGAGTACCTTTGAGACCTGCCTGCTGATTGTGATGGGGATCACCATGTTGGCACACATACAGAGTGTGTTTTATGCACAACTGTTTTGTCTGATGTCAAAAGTTAAGCAGAGTCATGTTTCGGTCTCGTCTAGGGTTAGATGACGACATAGGAGGACCAAGAGATTTTCCCCAAGGCTGGACAGTCATGAGTGACAGGGTGTGTGGGACAGTATGGGCAAGTATCTAGTCCACTGGGCCCCACCAGTGCTTTGGAAGTGTCGGAGATGGAAGGCAGCTGTATGGAGTCCCCAGCAACAAGCTGCAGAAACTGCTGAAGGGAAGGGTGAATTTTTTTGAGCCTGGTGGGCCCATGACTCTTCAGGCCATCAGGGCAGAGATGCAACACAGAGATGGACTCATGACTGAGGGGTGGACTTAGCAATGGACTCTATTGCCCAGGTTATTCACGAGTGTGAAACATGTGCTGCAATTAAGCAAGGCAAGCAGTTAAAGCCTCTTTAGTATGGAGGACGATGGCTGAAGTACAAATATGGGGAGGCTTGGCAGACTGACTACATCACACTCTCTCTTCTGCTCTGAAAGACTCTTACAAGAGATGGAGCCCAACATCATGGATGGGATGGACTCAGCAGCTTTATAGGGATTGGTCCATGCACTACGGAATGATCTCTCTCTCTCTCTCTGTGGATGTATATATATGTATATGTATGAGATAAGATTGATGGTATATTGAAAATGTGGGATCTGAGCATGACATGAATGGCATGGAATAAGGGGTGGATACTGTCCTGGGTTCATCAGTAGCAGTTATTTTTCTCCTTCTTAGTAGCTGGTGCAGTGCTGTGTTTTTGACTTTCAGCCTGGGAACAGCACTGATAACACCGATGTTTTAGTTGCTTCTCAGTAATGTTTACTCTGATCAAGGACTTTGTGAGTCTCATGCTCTGCCAGGGAGGAGGGGAAGCCAGGAGGAAGCAGAGACAGGACACCTGACCCAAACTAACCAAAGAGGTATTCCATACCACAGCATGTCATGCTCACTATATAAACTGGGGGCAGTTACCTGGAAGGGTTAGATCACTGCTCGGTTGGGCTGGGTATTGGTCGGCAGGTGGTGAGTGGTTGTATTCTCTTTCCTCGTTACTTCCCTTATCATCATTATTATTGGTGGTAGCAGTAGTGGTTTGTGTTATACCTTAATTACTGGACTGCTCTTATTTCAACCTGTGGGAGTTACATTCTTTCGATTCTTCTCCCCATCCCTCTGGGAGTGGGGGGGGAAGAAGGGGAGGAGAGTAAGAGAGTGACTGCGTGGTTCTGAGTTATGGCTGGGCTTAAACCACGACACCTACACAGTGCCTCGAACACATAACTGGAAAGACACAACATGCAGGTAGTGTGTTATCCCCAGTCACCCAGCTGACATTTATCCAGTGTTTGCCTTCATTTAATGAAATATTCCTTGAAACCCATGTATCACTACTGCTTTGTACATATAGAATCATAGTGTGTGAAATAAGTATGCCTATGAGAAAATCTCACTTATTTCAGTGTTTGTAAGATCCTATCCTCTACTGCAGCAGGTTTTAAGTCATTTGTTTAGATGGCAAAAAAACCCTAACTACTTTTTGTCCATTTCCAGCAGTGCTGGTTTTATGAGGAAATAGAAGTATACATATAGATACATATACACACACACATAGAATCATGGAATCAACTAGGTTGAAGAAGACCTTTAAGATCATTAAGCCCAACCCTTACCCCAGGACTGCCAAGTCCACCACTAAACCATATATACATATACAGATAGGTATGATAAGCTTGGATGAGTAGTTCCTACGTCTACATAAAAAAGCTGTATTGTATTGCAGTAGCTGATCTACAGCACAAAATAAGTGGTGGTAAGGACATGTTATCCATGATATCCACGAGGAGCAGGAGGTTAACTTCAGGCCAGCATGTGTCATGGCCTCATCCCATGGCCTAAATGCCCACTAGCAGCTGGAGGAAACCTTTATTTCAACCCAAAGAGTTCCTAAGTTGCACATTCTTGAGAAAGCAAACCAAATTCAGTAAGCAGGGATGGTGGGGAGCTACATTTCAAAAGTGAACTCTTAATCTGAACTAAAATCCACTATATTCATCAACTGCTTTCACTGTATCCTGCAGAGTCTTATTCTTACCTGTTTCCGATAGACATAACAGGCTGCTATTGCAACCATGGTCGATTCTCCTACAAAACCAGCTAGAAGGGATCCTACTCCAAGAGTGGCTCCATGAACTCTGTGGGTGCCATAAAAAGAAAGTAGTCATGGTTATGTGAGAATGCATGATTTGTCATTATATTTTCCCATATAGAACCAATTTGTTGTTAGAAATATTTCTTTCATAGACATAATAAACAGGCAAAGAGAATAAATGGTATTTTAAAGTTCTTTTTTGTTTCTTAATGGCTTCACTGTTTAGTAAAAGAGCCACACTCTGAATCAAATTATGGACTAAGAATTTGACGTCTTGTTCAGAGTGCTGTAGAACAGATTATTTAACTTATAAACAGGATATTCTTCCATTAGCTTTATTAACAGTGCACTTAATAGCAAGGAAATAAATTCCCCTTAGGACATGATTCTGCCTCTTTGACATCTGTGTATTTTTTCAAAAGGGACATCACTATTTTGCCTGCCTACAGCAGTCACACTTGTGAATTTGTAAATGTTTCTTTTCCAGATATTGACACTGTTTAGGATTTATATTATAGTTAGTATTGGGGGAAAATGTTCTGAGCTATGCAAATTCAGTTATCAAGTGACAGGGAACAGGAATGAAGAGGAAAGCAAACCTATCAGCTCTGTGCAAAATAATGATTTACCCCAAGTAAGGCAGCACAATGAGACTAGTGATGAGGACGATAATCCGCAGCACTGAGCTGGGTGCCAGCACAAATGTCTTCTTCAGAGTCATCAGCCAACCCGTCAAGTGTGCTCTGACAGTCACTGTAAACAGGGGAAGGAGAAGGAATGGGGATAAAGGAAGCAGGAGTAATAAAAAATCAGTCATCTCACATGAAGTTTTTTCATGCAAAGAGCACTGTTCAGAAATAACCACGTGTCCGGTAACTTTGCATGCTGGGAAACCCTACTAGAAATGAAGATCTTGTACCCAAATTGCTTCAGTATCTTGATTTTTGAAAAAAAAAAAAAGGGGGGGGAGTTACAGACAGCAATCCTTCCTAAGAGCTGCTCTCTTCAACCAACGTATTAGATGGTCTATTCTGTTTTCTTCACTAAAAAAACCTATCCCCTTTCCTAAAGAGGAATCATACCAAGGAAAATTTCCACCTAATTCCTATGTGGTATAGGGTATAACAGCTAGGCACAAAAAAAAAAGTATCTACATGTACTTGTTCTTATGTTTGTAGTTTACCTTATTACAAAAAACTGTCTTGTCATATAAGCAGAAAATACTACATGATGTAGCATTTAATTATGGAAGTTAGAATTTTTTTGAGGGGAAAAATTTTGATTACTGCTGTCAAGCTTGCCTCTCTCTTGACTTGGGGCATTAACTTTTATTCTATGTTGTTTATGCTCTGATGATATCTGAAAAAGTCACTGAGTCTGGCAGCTGACAGGAGACTAATGGAGGTGATGATACTGTGGAGGTGGCCCTAGATGCTATTCCAAATAGTTAATTTCAGTCTTGGCATAGTGTCGCTATTGCCATTCATGTGTGTGTTCTTGGTCAGCTACAATAGACAGAATTTAGGCTCCACTTTGACAGTCAGAAATCTGCCTAATGACAGACTGTTCTTACTGCAATATTTATCTGGACTATGAATGTAAATGGTCTTGGTCTCTTGGTTTCAATAAAAACGGTGTTACTTATACTAGGTATGCATTTAGCCACTCTTGTAAGCACAGCCATGCCAGAATCTATGACCATGCCTCACAGCTGGTTTGATTTTGAGGTTACAGAGTTCTTATTTTCTTGGTTTTTACCTGGAATTGGAAAGAAGGAGAAGATGCGCAAAGGAACAACACACAGCTCTGCAAAAGCGAAGTCGACTCCGATTATGTCAACTAAAATCTTCTCTGACACGTTTGGTGTCCAAAACATCACAAAACAGAGCTAGGAAGAACAAAATGAAGCAATGTTTATATTTCAGAAAGGAAGCACAAAAAAGGATAGGCCTTCCTGGTTTAAAACATTTGTTTACTAGTGGGTAGATAACTACTGATGCTAAATACACATATATTTATAATTAGCTTGCATTCAAATATACAGAGTATACAAGTGTACGTAAGATGGCATGTTATATTTCAGAAGCAATTCCTACTCTTCATGTTCTTACATACCAAGACTGATGCACATAGAAAGAATTTTTATGGTGCATGCAAACGGTTGTACTTGAATGGTCTAATTGTTACAAAAACAGTAAGAAACTTGATTTTTATAGTACTTGCCCTGGTTAAGACATCCATATTCCAAAACAGACTAGCAAATGTAACTAAAGATTTGAAGTACTCCAAGACTGAGAGATCCAACCTAAATCTAAGACTAGAGGTTTAAGTGCACTGCTGATACTAGTACTGTTGCTAGGTATGTAACATACCTGATTAGCAAGGCAAAGGTGTCCTGCAGACACAGAGCGCTCAGGCCACAAATCCACTAAATCTTGTTATTTTTATTAAAGAGTGTGCTGATTAGTCCATATATGAAAGGAAAACATCCATAACAACCCCACAGTAAGTGGTACCGCAGTAGAATACGTTAATATTTTGGTCAGTTCTGACACAGGGCTCCAGTCAGAGCTGAGGGGGCTCCTGGCAGCTGGCAGGTCCAGCTTCACTTCAAGGCGCTCACTGAAGAACAGGGCTGACAGCCCCTGCAAGGTTTTTCCTGTCAGAAGGGGTACCTGACATCCTTTCAAGTATAACTATTTTGCTATTTAACTTGGTTTTGAAGTTAAAAAAGGTATTTTTTCCCTGTTATTCTCCCAGTAGAGCAGATGTTAGGGAAGTGAGCTGATTGAATAGGGCAAAACTTGGAACCTTAAATGCTTTGGCACTCCTCTTGCCAGGTTACAAACTGATGTAATAGGTGAACTATGTGCAATGGCTGTAAAATATTAAGACTCTATAACCACTCTCTTACAATTTAGCTTACAAGCTAGTATTGTAGTATCTAGCTTTTTTCTTTTTATCCAGTTGTCACATCCCTGCATGTTCAGACAGCTTTCAAAGCTAGCCTTTGAAGTCCTACCACCTCCAAGACAGCTGGGATTGCACTCTCATTCTTTGCGTGCCACAGATAGTCCTTTCTGTTTAGCCTACAAGCACCCAGATGCACAAGTTTCCCAAGGCTTGTGACCGAGTGGCCCATGGAAGGTCTCATGTTCTGACCACCTGTGCAGTCAGAACAAGACATGTCACCTTCCCACAAAAAGGTTCATCTTCAGTTTTCTTCTCTGCTTCTTGCAGTAGAAGACACTATTTTTTTTTCACAACTGAATGTTTCACTTGACTAATTTGATGCTGTCTTGCAGTATATCTCCATCACATATACAGGGAATAGTAAGTGGAAGAAGGTAAGAGCAGAAGACAAATGAACTGTGCATGGATTCTTTTCTGCTTTAGCCAACACTTCTCTCTCCCTGCCAAATTACTTGTACAGGGTACAATGGAAGCAGAGGGGACAATCTAGAACAGGGGTTGTCCAGTTGAGAATCCGGTTACTAAAAAGTAACCGTACAGCAACAAAGCAGGGCATATTTTGTCAAATCTCTCTTTAAAGTCCAATAGAGAAGACACAAAGACGCCCACTCTTCAATTATAATTTGCTGCTTTCATAAAAGCAAAAACCTTTACGCTGCTTGTCCTGCACAGTGCCATTAGCATCCTACTGAGCAGTATAGTTAGGGCTGCTTTGAGAGTCCATGCATCTATGCCAACAGTGGAGTCTGCCCACTGCTAGCAAAGGCAAATAGAGCAGTCTTTTCCTTCTGGCAGAATATTCTAATATGGTTAGACAGACAAGCAAGCAAATAAATGACCAAAAGCATTGTTCTCAGCCTTGTTCTCTCTGAAGTTAGTTTGTGGCCTTAATAAGAACAGAGTCAACCTCCATCCAGCTGCTACGAGAGGAAGGTCTATTTGCAGATCGGGGTAATGACTTATACCCAGGTGGTATGCAGTCATTCCTCCTCAACTGCTGCAAATTGCAGTCTTCCCCACTTCCCACTCCCCTGATCAGTAGAGTCAGTGCTGATAAATGGCTTCAAGAAGCACTTCTTATACAGCAGCTGGTGGGGAAAGATAACAGTGACTCCTAAGCTGAAGAATCAGCAGTTTGAGGAGGTGAGGCATGGCAGCAGAAGGACCTTCTATTTCTGTCTCAGCATGTTTCCATCTTTTTTGGTTGCAATGTTGATAATTAGTTTCATTTTGCTAAGAGATTCCTCTCTGTCATCTTATGAGCAGATGATATTCTCATTGCCCACAGGGAGCAAAGTCTCCAGAAAAGAAATGAATGCTTTGCATCATGCAAGCCCTATTCAGTTTAACTTCTAGAGCACTTACAACTTGGGAAATTTCTCTATTATTTCAAAGACAAATTCAAAATGTAGTGTGTGTGTGAAAAATAAGTTCTCCTTCAGGAAAACAGTGCCACTAATGATGCAGAGGATGGAAAGATATTTTGGCTGCTGATTTTATTACAGATAAAGCCTACTGGAAATAGGATGAAGTCTTAGCTTTTTTTTTTTATGCTGACTGGTCTCTATAGTGTTTGTGAAGGTGGAAACTGGTAAAAAAGGAGACCAGAGCAGATGATAACAGATGAAATGATACAAGTAGTATGGTGAAACAGAGAGCGTGGCATGCAGAATTAGAGATGCAATCTACCGGATCTTACTTGGAGTAAGTGGTGCTAATTTCAAGATTTTTAGGAAATGTTTACCCACAGTATGTCTCCTCTCTCTAGTTAAATGCTGTTTCCCCCTCCCCCTTACATCTTTCTGCATGTCTGCACGGTTAAAAATAGAATAAATAGGCTTGGGTAAGGTTACAGTTCTACCCTCATTTAATCTAATCAAGAGGTGAAGATTAAACAGTAAAAGCTTCCATACAGGCTAGCAACACGCATGCATAATGGTACTGCAGCTTCAGGTTGCTATTGCAGATGGCTGCAATGGCTTTGCACAGTAATGAAGATTGTACTTGGCAGCTCTGCTGAGGCGTTTTAATGCTCTGGGGGTAAGCATCTTGCTTGTGAAACTGTAGCAAAAGTTGATTTGATTTTCTGCTGTCTTAGGGTAGAAGTGCAGCACGATATTGAAGGATAAATTTGCTAAAGCCTTTGATCATTTAACCGTAATTTTAAGTGAAAAATGTTGACTGCTTTAAAAATACAGGAAAAAGTTAAGATCTAAACATGACAGTGGAATGATACAGAGAATATGCAGGCCTGAGTAAAGACAGTAATATTATGGTGGTGTTGCCTCTGTGTAAACAACAGTACACTAAAGCATTTCTGGAAGTGTTTTAATTATTTGAACTGATCTGAAGGGCTGTGCTATTTGGTAGTATGTCTTTACCTGATCTACGTAGTACAATTTGAAAGACTTCAAAGAATCATGGAAAGATTTGGGTAAGAAAGGACCTTGAAGACCATCCAGTTCCAACCCGTCTGTCACAGGCAGGGATACCTTTGACAAGACCAGGCTGCTTCAACCTGGCCTTGAACACTGCCAGGGATGGGGCCGCCACAGCTTCTCTAGGTGACCTGTGCCAGCATCTCACCACCTTCACAGTGAAGAACCTCCTCCTAATGTCTAATATAAATGTCCCCTCTGTCAGCTTACAGCCATTCCCCCTTGTCCTGTCACTACTTGTCTAAGTATGTCAGTAATTTATGGCACCGTAAGATAATCAGCACAGCTGTGCCAGAGCAGATCAAAGCCCCCGTCTCTCTGCTAAAACTTGCTGTACGTTGCCTCAGGGGAAGGGTACAAGGAGCAGGGCAAGTGCAGAGTAAGAGATGCCCTTCCTGGGCTGTATGGTCTGAGCTGCTGGCAGTTACAACTTCAGGAGTTCAGTAACTGTGGTGCACCTTCATCCGATGCAGCATTACGCTGTGCACGCTACATGTATCATAGGACTTTTTTAATGCAGTTCTGCATTAAAAAGAAGTCAAAGAGCAAAAAAGAGCATAGATGCTCTCCATAAGTAGTTGTGCTTACTTTCATGTGGGACCTTGCTATTCTTAGCTAGCAAATCCAGTGTCTAGGCATATTAAAAGGTTACACATCAAGAACTACTATCGACAAGCCTGAGAGAATGCACAGATCTTTGTTTCAGTAGGGAAAGTACACTTCAGGCATTTGACTTTCACAAATGACTGCAATTAAAGACTGTTCATGAGATTTTGTTTCAGTTGCTGCATGTGTGAGTTTGAATGCTAGTAGTTCTTGAAAACTAACAGTCTTTTCATAGGCTCCTAGAAACTATTTCCATTTATTCTGGTTGCTGACAGGGATTACTAAGCCTCAGAGACCCACTACATAATGCGTTATAATACATTATGCTAACAAAGGCTATTGTCATGTGTATAGTAATCTGCAGGGTGCTAGACTGATTTTTCAGCATTTGTGGAAAGCTGCCTGTCTTTTGGGACATTCATTGATAAATATAAGGCACAAAAGAGTATTCCAGTGAGCTATGAATAGCAGTACAGTATTTCTAGACTTCAGTGCAGTCTTCGGTTAGAAGCAGCAATGCCTGATGACAAATGACAAAGATGTGATATGGCTCTATGCTCCTCAGGAAGAAGCTGCAGAATCCAAAATAGATTACACATACACCAGCCTGGAATGAGACTGAAATAACAATATTTTGCCATGGGGAAGCATAGCGTTAACCTGTTAAACCTGTTCCTGTGATGAAATGCAGTTTATATTTTTTTTCCTGCAAAACAACTCTCAGCAGATGTTTTCCACTATTTGTTGAGCATGCCATGTTTGCAGAAATATGGCTGTCCAAGAGAGATATTCTACTTGCAGAATATTCTTCTGTGTATCTATTGAGGATTTCATCTTTACTAATTTAACATATGCTGTATTCGTGATCTCT